AATTTGTGTGGATTTTGAGTACATTTACACATATCAGATTGTTTTGGCCTGTTAAAATGTTTAAGTCAGGTTTTATAATGTAATGAATTATGTTTATTTACAATGTAGGTTTAAACATATCAGTAACCTGATTTATAATATCTAAACATCTTAAAACTTTTAATGCTTATTTATTTTGGTCTGTTGAAAGATAGAAAATAAATATTCATCAAATGGATTTGATATTCCTTTGATATCTAAATATATCTGAAACAATTTGACTATTTGATTTGATCTCTCAGAAAACAAATCAATCAAAATCAATGTTTTGTAGAATTAAGTCGCGTGAAGAATTATGTCTGGTCAATACCAAAAACAAAATGACCGGCTACTTTTGGAATTGAGACTGTAAGAAAGTTTATTATGAATTGTTTGAATATGAACAAATTATATGCGAATCGAATTTTTTACAGTTCGTTGAGCAAAGAAGTGTGCTATTATGCTTTGTAACACCGCACTTTGGGGTCAAACGCACTTTGGGGTCCGACCCCAAAGTGCGTTACGTACTTTGGGGTCCGACCCCATAGTGCGTTACGCACTTTGGGGTCCAATTTCGACACCAAAGTGCGTTAAACAGGTACATATGCATTTTTTAACATCAGGCAAACGACCGCACTTTGGGGTCATAGAAAATTAAAGTTCATTATGTTTTAAATAATATATTGTAGTCAAAGCCAATGGTAAACAAAAAAATCACGGCATTAAATAGACACAAACATGTGCCCTGAATTATAGTAGAATCAATAGGGATTTAAATGATCTTGATTAGTAAGTGAAGAACTTTCACCAAATAAATCACCAAATAAAGAATTTGTATCAATTATTAAGCTTAAAATATTTTTTCTCAAACTTTCCATTTATTTTAAAAGAATGTACACCTTTCATTAATTCCATTGTTTTTAGCTAAATGCATTATTTTCCCGTTTTTTATTTACACATTTTTAAGAAATATGATAGTCTTAGCATAGACAAAGGTATAAATTCTGGGAAATCTTAGTAAGACATTTCAGTAAAAAATGTGCCTGATAATATGTTGTAAGGGCCATTTATTTAGCTAAATGTGACATAGGTGTAGATGCGGCTTTAAGTAGTAGTCCGTACAGGCAGTACTAAAATTATCAACTATTTAAGTAGTCGCACATTAAGAGCGGAGCTTAAGAATAATGTAAAATTCTCTTTGGGGGTATAGAGGGGATTGTGGGGTATTGATCCCCCCGAGGGTTAAAAATAACGTTTTAAAGGCACATTATGCTTTTATTTGTTTTTCTTAAAAGCTTTTTTTATTTTGATGTTCTTCTATATTATCCAAAAATACACATTGGCCATTTACCTGAACCATCTTTTTCATCTGTTGCTTTTTGGCAATGATGAGTACAGTATAGTGAATTAGTATTTTATATGGAAGTCAAATACTACAGTGTTCGTTTCTTTTATGACGAATAATATCACAGTTATCGCTACTTTATTCAGATAACAAGCATCTTACATTTCTCAGATACAATATTTTTAACATTATAAAATTCATGTTTGCTCTTTCTTAAGAAGTATGTAAGATTTCCCATAAAAAAGCCTCTGGCGAACGGTTGTTACGGAGCTTACAAAAACCCTTAAGTTTGTTGATAAGCTTAATAATGTTTTTGTAAAAATCACTATTTATAGTCCGATCGAAAAAAAATTTCACCAGAAAATTGCAATAGAGTATATTTATAGTTCTTTGGAAAAAGACATTAACTGCATTTTTTTTCATTTCCAACATATTTAACATGGGGCTCAATATGGCACCAAAAGTTATCAAGTAAAATTAATGACCGACAGAACGGGATACTTTTCGCAGCATCTTTTAATTCTAGGAATACACAATTTCTGTACTAGAGTATTTTGAACGGTGGCATAAAAGTGGCATGTGTATTTTTTTTTATACTTTTTTTTGTTTTTCGAACATATTTTTGTTTGTTTGTCGTAGATATTTTTTTACATGTAGTTTTGAATAAATACTTTTTTTAGTTTTGCATACATATTCTTTTTTAGTTTGCATTCATATTTTATTTTAGTTTTGCATACATATTCTTTTTTAGTTTGCATACATATTTTATTTTAGTTTTTTTGTTCATATTTTATTTTAGTTTTTTCGTACATATTTTTACATGACGCCATTTGCAAAGTAGAGGTTTGGATAATTACACCATTTGTTAAACACCATTTTCAAACACTTCGCCATCTGTAAATTACAGTACCCCATTTGCAAATGCCATTTGCAAATACCAACATTTTCATTTTTTAGTATCCGCAATAACCCAAAGAAAGGTTCTGCATATGGTCTCGTTGTGGTTAACATTTGTCACAAGGTGCCTTAAAATCCTTCATGGGGTTTCGGAGATAAGAAGTGGACATGAAACCCAAGTCTTTATCCTTTGACCTGTAGCTGTGACCCCGACCTTGAGCCGGCACACCTGGCATAAAACTCTGTGCATTATCTGGATGTGCTAAGGAATTGACCTAAGTTTCATAATTCTCAATTCAAAATAAAATATGAATGCAAAACTGAAGAAAAATATGTATGCAAAACTAAAATAAAATATGTATACAAAACTAAAAACAATAAATGCAAATGTCACTTTTATGCCACCGTAATTTTGTTATATGTACACAATTTTTAGATATTTCAAGTGGTAACATTAATGAAACTTTTATCACTTAAGCATCATAAAGTATTGACCACCATCTTGAACTCCAATTCAAATATTCCAATGTCGCAGATAGAAAATACTCAGTATTTAAGCAGAACTCAGATGACGCATTTAGACCTCTTTAACCCAAAGTGCGTTGATATGTAGCATATTAACGCACTTTGGGGTCAATTTCTCGATTTTGATCCCAAAGTGCGTTTGACCCCAAAGTGCGGTGCGAAGTTTAACGCACTTTGGGGTCGGACCCCAAAGTGCGTTTGACCCCAAAGTGCGGTGTTACAATGCTTGTACGCTTTTTTGTTGCTATTTTCTGTTATTGTAAACTTCGAGAATAATTGTGTTTTTTGGTGCGTTCAGTACATGAACTAATATTATGACTAATTTCGACTAATTACGCTTCTTTCAGTCATTTCCTAGGAGGAAATTCTCCTACAATAGGTCAAAATCTTCAGAGCATACTAGTACATATACAAGTATAATGCGTAAAAACCTGCAATTAAATCATTTTTCATATTTACAATACAATGCCATTTAATTGTTCTCAAAGTAAAAACTTTCTGAAGGCAATTACAATTGTAAAATAACAACTAGATAAATTTGTTTATCTCTTTAAAAGTTTCCTACTTTATTACTCATATTGATTGTTTCATCAATACAAATCAAAATCATTATAAATAAAACACTGGCACAGCGAGGAAAACATGAGCCACGTCGCAACAAAACCAACATAGTGGGTTTGCGACCAGCATGGATCCAGATCAGCCTGCACATCCGCGCAGTCTGATCAGGATCCATGCTGTTCGCTATCAGTTTGGTAAGCGAACAGGATGGATCCTGATCAGACTGCGCGAATGCGAAGGCTGGTCTGGATCCATGCTGGTCGCAAACCCATTATGTTGGTTTTGTCATGACGCGGCTCATATGCTGTTATATACATGTTTATCTAAAAAAGGGGTGTAAAACCTAAAACATTTAGTCCTTAAATGCATACTTAAACACGTTTTTGTTAAAACTTTTATCTAAAACAAGTAGAACAATGCATCTTGCAGTGCAATCGATTGCGTATCTATAAGAGAACATACTTTTGAAACTACATGTATAATTACGTAAACATAAAGAAGCAAAATTAATACATGTAGTGTAAAGGCCCATTATGCCTTCGTAATGCTTTAATTTTTATTTTTCAAAAGCTTTTTATTTTCAGTGTACTGTTATAGTATCTAAAGTTTTACCCATAGGCCTCATTACCTGAACAATCTTTTGCGTCTGTTGCTGTTTGGCAATAAGTACTGCTATAATTATTTAGTATTTTGTATGGAAGTCATTATACTACTTTGTTTACATGTTGCTACTTTTATGACACATTCATCGCTACTTTTTCATGTTAAAAGCATCTAACATGCTATAAAACAATTATTTTAACGTTATAAAGTTCATGTTTGCCCTTTCTAAATAAGTTATAAAATATTAATTTCTGAGGCATAATGTGCCTTTAATGTGAATGTCTAGGTCATATATAAATGCTCGTTTTCTGAAAACTAAACATTATATTGTAGTGCCAAAATCTTTACGGTATCATTACAAATTTCCGTACATTTAATTTAATTAGTTTATTTTCTTATCTCACCCAATATGGACAAAGCCATTCAACATTTTTAGGGAAGATTTCAAAAATAAAAGCGAATAGTGCAGGTCGTAAATCAGACGGTACGGAAATACAGGATGATCTTGTTTGTTTTTCTGGTCACACGGTAAACTGCCGCTGGGTTTGATAATGATTAAATAAAAGGTTCGTCATTTGCTATTATAATATCAACGATAATTTGAGTCAAATGAGGCCTGATTCTTATCAGGAACAAGTAAACGCACGCAACCTTATAATTATACAAGTGGGTCCAGATTTTCACCACACACGCAACCATATATATCCGAGTAGACGAAAAATCTCTTTGGTTCTATGTTTTGAATTAATTGCCAGCTGTAGCAATTTTGACCTTTACAGAGGACATAAGATCGATTGAGGATAAAGAGTTAATAAGAATAATTTACCCTTAAAGATTAGTGTAATAGACAAGCAACTGATTTAAGACAAATTACAAAATTTATTCAACACAGCGTTCTTCATAAGGAAGACGGATTTCCCGCACAGAAATAACCAGGCTCACGTTATTAGATATTGATAAATGGTGTTCCTTGACATTGAGACAGCGTTCAATGCTATCTGAAAAGCCGATAGTGTATTTCAAACGTGTTTCCTGTGGCGTGCGCATGCGCAATTGTTGTATTTCTAGAGAAAAAAGCAATACCTACCATATGGAGAACTGTATGGTTTAAGTAAATGACAATAACTATGTCTTAAATCTGTTTATAAACGTTATATATGATATGCACGGATAACTTGTACTGTACGTTTATTGGCCGACTGGGAATACAGCTTTACATTGTGTTCGTAAACAGATACATGCGTGGCAGCTGACACTGATTTTATCTATATGTATATACAGTGTCAGTGAGAGTATATACATGCTGTCAACGTTTTACCTTTAAAGGTAAGCTGAATTTATCTCACATCATGTATATGTATTAATATATCATGTATAAAATTGCATGTTTATGATTAATATTTTGTAGAAATGCATTTAGAGACCAATTAAAGCTTCACAAATGCAAAATTAATACCGTTATGAAAGTCAAAACAGCACTTTGTTGTCATTCTGCTACTTGTTGTAAGTTTGTATTGCTAAAAGATTATAATTAGTTGAAAACGATAAAACAAATGACCAGCCATACTATTGAGGCATATTAAATAGCAATGAAACAGTATTAATTGGTGATGATGTAATGCTAAATTATCGATTTTGAAAACAAGTATTAGACTTGTTGTCTTATTTTACCAAAAAAAATGTTCTGACACTTTTTAGTTTTTACATGTAGAAAGTTCAACCAAATTGTGTTTCTTATAACAAAGTTTTGGTTGAAACTGGTTATATTTGTTCAAACTGAAATGTCGAAAGTGATATATAGCTTGTACAACAATAGTTTCTAGGTATATTGTAACTTAACTTCGGTAAATATTTCCATTATATTTTAGTCGCACTTTGGGTTAATCTTAGTACTGTTTCACTACTTGTAATAGACTTGGTAAGCGAACAGCATGGATCCTGATCAGACTGCGCGGATGTGCAGGCTGGTCTGGATCCATGCTGGTCGCAAACCCATTATGTTGGTTTTGTCATGACACGCGCTCATTTGATTCTAATCAAAGATATCTTAAAGGCTACCAGGTGACAATATTGTTAATGGAAATATCCAGAAGTTTATTTCTTTAAATTTGCAAAAACCATCAAACACAATATCATTCTTAAACAGCAGAATGTGATAGAATTTAGCAAATATCTGAGTGGCACGATATACGGATATTATCCAAGGAAAAAAAAACACAAAAAAACTACTAGCCACCATGTGCATTACCTCTTCTAAACTTTACATTTCGTGATGGAAAATTTAGTTGACACAAGCTACATACGTATTTGTAGGTGATTCAATTTTATCGTTTTAAAATGGTACAGACAAGTGGATGGAAAACATTGTTTAGAAAAGCTTTTTCGTGAATTAGATTTCTTAATTTGATTTCTTAATTTGACTTCTTAATCACGAAATCTTAACAGGCGTACCAGGTGACCAATATTGTTAATGGAAATATCGCAGAATGTTTTATTTCTTTCAATTTGCATGTTTTTTTTTACGAAACAGTAACCATATTTCAACGTTGCCAAGCGGTGCCCATCTGTGTCCCATCGTCGTTTTGGTTTATCGGCCTTGTTCCTAATACCTTTTGTCGGTGTCTTTGTACGTGCATGTTGCTGTGTACTTAGAATTCATCCCTATATCAATGGTTTGGCTATTGTGTTTTTTTCTTTTAAACATCAAATTAAGAATTTTAGCAAAATCTGTTTTAGTTTATTATTAAAACTCGCTCAGATTTTTTTTGCTGTCAAGGTCAGTGAATTAGCTTTAGATTTCAAAAGATTGACAGCTAAAATGGTCAAAAACCAATCATTGATAATGCTGACTTAAATAAAAAAAGAAACATTTCCCCAACCTCTTTTATCAAAGAATGTTACCGATACATTACGAAGTCTATATATAGAACTTTTCGTTGGTCAAATGGGGTATGGATATTAAAGAAGAATTTTAAATTGAAATGAATACGGCAAAATGTACTTAATTTTTGACATTCACCTACAGACTTACTACTTATACATGGATAGGCATAATGTCACTTGAATGTCACTTGAATGTCACTAAAATTGCGATCGTAGTGTTTCAGTAACACTGTTTACTGTGTCCATTTACTAAAACTGTATGCCTAGCTGGCATGTTAAAATGCAGACAGGTTATTTCGATAACGTATAATAATCAGGTATATTTTCTCTGGAGGAGCATGCTATTACCTTCTCAAAAGCCAAATGTTCATGTAAATATACATTAAATAAATGTAGTGATAAAAGGAATTGAATGTTTATGTGGAACAGATGTTACCAACAAATATTGCATTTATTCAATGGTTGACATTTTGTATGATATTGAATATCAATAAAAGACTGTGAATGTTTACTAAAAGTTGTGTAAGGTAAGGATTTCTATCTTGACATCTTTGAAAGTTTATTGTTGTAAACATTTCAGGTTCTTTTATATTGTTCAATTATTTGTTTCCTTTTTTATTTTGTATTATTCTCATTTATGCATTGCATTAATCGAAGATGACTGAATCATCACATGTAAGACATGGTAACCATTGTCATTGCTATATTATTTTATAATAATTATCTTGTACATTGTATAAGGAGCTTTGGAATCCAATTGATGCGATGCATGTCACATGGGAAATAAGTGAATTGACGACCTTTATATTATAATGAATGAAACTATCTAGGTAATAGATAAATGAACTAGGCTATGATATACTATTATATAATTATATAACTTTATATTATACGAAGCGTTCACGTACGCATTTCTATGACACCATTAACATTAAGCAATTGGAAAGGGAGATAATCTTTGGTCTGAAATACTGCAATATGTAGAACAAAAAACAAACACAAACAAAATTTTGATGAATGTCTGTGGACCAATGTTTTGTGTGTTAAAACTTCATATTTTAAGTTGTTTAGCCTTGTTATTGCATATTTATTTGAATTCTGTATTCCTTATGTTACGTGATACAAGAATTAGCCACATTTAGAAGAATGTTTTTTATAACTAAAAATGAAACACAAGCATACTCGAAATAATCGTAGATATCACTTCCTTTCGAATAGAGCCGTCAAGAGAAGTTGTTGACGAAAAGAGCGTAGTGTATTGAGCGTTTCAGTAAATAGTGCTTCGTACTAGATTTGATGAGAAACTGTACTGTCGCATTTTGTCGGATAAAGTACCTCAATAAATGACACAAGGTAAAATGCGTCATTCATTACCACAATGACAAATAATAAATTATTGTCAATCTGTCCCTTCATTTATCGTTTTTCTGTCTATTCGGCTTTATTGTCTGTCGGTCTGTTGTTAGTCCTGATTAAATTCTATTAGAATTCTTTGAAACTTATTGAAATTATAATCATTAATGAACGGATAACATCTACTTATTTCGGGTAAATGAGTATAAAAATATAAGGTTTATTTTTTATATGTGCGGAGAAAGCTACGTCAGTGCTTTGTTTCAATATATCAGAAATGAAAACCGTATCAAAAATCATACACGGAATCATATGACGAAAAATCTTATGAATCATTATAACAAGAATTGTCTTCCTATGTTTACTTATGTTTATATCGTAGTGTGATATGTACCTGTCGCTGAATACAGCTGCTGCAGTTTTATTGTTTTAAAAGAAAATCCAAAATAAAATCTTCAGTTTTGAATTGATATTTTAGCGTTCTAAGTTTTCATTGTGTATAGGTGGACATTATTCGGACGAATGCTAATGTATTGAATTTAGAATGACTTATCAAAAGAAAAATATATCTAGTGGATATTTGTTACTTCATGAATACATGTAATTACATATTCAGTGTATATTCTATACATATGAAAATATTGTAACGAGTGAGCATAAGTATATTAAAATGAATCCACGTTTTTTACATGAAGGCACTGGGTATTTTTTTAAGAGATCTGTAAATCATTTGCTGAAGGTCTGGATCAACAAGCTGTGTACAAAATTACAGTTTATTTTCTTATTCAGATTTTTTGTTTGTTTTTGTTTTGTTTCTGTTAAGGCTAAAAATTAGACTACAATCGAATTTTCAATTGGATTCTAAGCATATCTTTTTATTATATTTTGTTTATGTTTCTGTTATTGATGCACCAGTTAATCTTTGTAAGAGTTTCATTTATGTCTCTAAAGCTTTTGGATCTCATTGAGACGTCTTTAAAGTAAACATTTATAACTTTGTTTAGCGCGCCTAGATGACTGTTCGTTGCATGTTATTCACGTACAGCCGACAAAATAACTGATTTCATATAGTTACGAAGATTACTTTCCCTTCCTTTAATACAAATATACACAAATCATCTATAACAGACATGCAGAGCCACATTTTCCGTTATGCACAAACAACTACGCATACGCACACATTGAACATTGCCTGTATTGGTAATATAATGAATGAATTGAAGTAAGTGTTAAATTTTGCAATGTTGTGCATTTCCAAGAAAACTATCATTTAAGGTATTGATTTTAATAAATAGCCTCGTTTCAATTTAATAAGAATGCAGGAATAAAAACTTTGATACAGCCGGGTAGGCTGCACATACGTTTAGGCTAGTCGTGCTGTATATCGTTGTTTAGCAAACTTCTTAAAGTTTTCACTTGATACCCGTAGAATTGCCGATGATTTTTTTCCAATTTCAAAACTGGATGCGGTCTTTACACTCATTCAGTAGAAAAAAAAAACATTTAAAATCTCTTTAGCCGGTGCTACGGAGAGGGCGTAATATCTCTAGTATTGCCAATTAATTATTCTTAGTACAAAGCGGGATATGTACATTACACTGATTCAACAGAATATTTCCCGAAATAAGCAAACAAAAATCAATCAATCATTGAAAAACTCTAAAGCTGGTGTTACGGGGGGGGGGGGGGGGCGTGATAGATATTGCATATTTTATTGTCTCTCACGAAAAGACGTATTTAAGCTAAGAGTCTACAAGTTTTATCTCTTTGCTTTGTTTTTATTGTTCTCGGTGAAAAAATTTAAGTAGGTATAGTTGTAGGTAATTTAAATGTTTCACTACGAGACAATAATTATTTGAAGTTTTTTACAGAACGTGTAAATGGTTGCATATTTGTTGTTTTGCATCTGATAGTTTTGCTGCACAATGCAGATGTTCAATTTGTCGAAAATCTATTACTTCCGCTTGCGTGAACAGACGCTTGGTTTTTAGATTATAGTGTTAGACAAAATACTCCTTAGGGATTATTAGAAATAGTAGCATGACTTAAATAACACATCAAATTAAACGCCATGACAAGATGGGATATAA